ATACTTAATTTGTTATATTGAAACATCAAAATGTTTTCAACAAAAGCAAAACCATACAAAAAAGCCTTCGAAATTATAAAGAGGAACGCTGGAAAACCGAGGGATCACCGGAAAAGGTATATATCGAGACATTTTAGCCTAGATCTACGTCGGATGGGTTCGATTTTGGTGTTTTGGATTTAGGGTCTCGAGGGTGAGATGAGCATTTTGGGGAGTTTGTCGAAGCGGTGGCCGACACAGTGGGGGTGTTGCCGGAGTGGTGGTCGGCCCTTGGTCGAATGGGGATAGTTGAGAGGATTTTTTTGGCTTGGGAATTTTTTTTTGAGGAATGGGTAAAAATGAAGTTTTTTTTGGTTTTTAGGCTATTTATAAGGGAGGACATGTGTGTATTTATCTGTTGGGATTTTCGGAAGCTCGAATCGACAACTGAATCGGTTTGTAAAGAGGGGTCGTAACAATTTTTGTTTTTAAAGAGTAAGGAGATTGAAAGATAGAGAATTGCACAGCGATTTATAGTGGTTCAACTTCTCAACCAAGTCTACATCCACTACCTTAGCTCTTCACCAAGGATTTTCCAACAAATTCACTAATTTGTTATTTCTTTTTAAGGACAAAGAGATAACCTTTACAACTCCCTAGTTTTTCACCGGATAAACTAGAACTTTTCCCTAGCTTTTACACGGGCTTAGCTAGAACCTTTCCCCTTTACAAAAGGATAAAAGAAGTAAACAAATAAACCTCTCAAAGGTAGGTGTTTACAAGAATTAAGCTCACAAGAACAAATATTTACAAGAGAAAGGAAAATAAGAATAAAAATCTCTTCTCTTGTGTTTGATTGCTTGGATAGTTGTTCTCTTACTTCTTCAAGTGTCCTCAGCTTGTATTTATAGCTTGGAATGAGTTTGAAGTCGTATATAGCCGTTGAGGATGTTTTGGAGCCGTTTGAGGATTATTTTTCTATAAAAATAGGCAGCCCAAAACAAAGTGTATCGGTACACTATCAAGGTGCATCGATACCCCTTCATTAAATTCAAATTTTATGACTGTTGGGTTGTGTGAACAGTGAGTGTATCGGTACACTGTAGCAGTGCATCAGTAAACCTTTTACATTCGATATTTTTAGCATCGGTACTGTTCATTACTATTTACACAGTATCGGTACTATTTATTATTGTTCATCAAAACATTTTTGTGCTCAATTTCAAATTAAATGGACTTTGAATTATTTTTGAAACCTTTTTAAAATTTTGAATAAATTCAATTCAAGTCCAAAAATATTTTGCCTTTAAATTTGTTATATCGGAACATAATTCAACATTATCCAATAGATAAATTCTTTCTGCTGTCCCTATTATTTTGAAGCGCATTTCAATTTGGTCACCGTTCGTAATTTTGCTTCCGAATTTTCAATTTAATCAATTTAATCATTGTTTATATTTTTTATATTTTGCGAATTGGCCTCCTTATTTTTTATTTTTCTCTTGCAGATCATTTTTAGTACCGATTTAATCCCTTAATTTCAATCTATTTCAATTTGATCCTTTTTTTTTCTTATTTGTATTTTCTTTAAAGTTTAACATTTTTTTTTTCTATTTCTCTTTATTTTTCCACTTTTTTATTCTATTTTTTTATTATTTTATTCTATTTTTTCTTTTTAAGATTTTTTCTTTTTATTATTTTTCATTTTTCCTTGAAATTTAATATTTACTTCCTTCTTTTTTTAAAAAAACATTTTTCTATATAATTCTTCGATTTATTTATTTATTTATTTATTTATTCTTTCCTTTTTATTTAATTTTTTATATTTATTTTATTTTACTATTTAACACCTTTCTGACTTTTTTCAGTAGTAATTCCAATCAATCAAAGGTAATCAGTTCGAATAGAATTTTTTAAATTTTAATTTAAATTCTAATTTTCGTAATTAAAACAACTGGCAAATTTAATGGTACCGAAAAGGCAGTTCAAGGGTGCTAATCATTCCTTGACTGTAACCGACTCCCGAATACGACATATTTCTGGCAAAACACAGATCAGGTAAGATGGTGTCCGTTCAACCAAATTTTTAAAAAAAATAAATGATCAGTGGTGACTCTAACCCATTTTTTCAAGTCGAATCCCAATTTCGGGCTCAACCGAAAGAAGACTGCGACAATAATAATAAAAAAATCATCATTATAAATCATTTAATTTTCTAGATTCTAGGACGCAGTCAAAAGGTTGAGATTTATCTTAGAACATATATCATCTTATACTTACTCCAAATTAATATGAATTTTAAAAGTTTTTTCTTATCACAGGTAGAGAAAGTTTCTTAACTAAAAAAAGATTAATTATGTATTTAATCACTTAAATATCATTTTGGTTCTGTTAGGTTATCTATTTTTTTTCAAAAACTTTACTAATGTTAGGTTTTGATTTCATTTTGATCATCTACGGTTAAAAATTAACATAACTACTAACTTGACATTTTTAATTTTTTCAATGATGATGTGACATTACCTTATGGTGACATGTTAACATCACCGTTAATTTTTTTAACTATTGTTGATTAAAATAAAATAAAAACGTAATGTTAGTGATGATTTTGAAGAAAAAAACAAATAGTTTGGTGACTAAAACGAAACCACACGAATAATTAGGTGACTAAATATCTAATTTACCCTATATTTTATTCAACATGAGTTTTTACTACAACTTTTTTTTGTAAATTCTATCCTAAAATCAATTCTTTAATTTTTTTTATACTTTAATCAATACTTTATTCTCAAAATACTTTTATAAAAAATAAAATTATAAATATATCTAATAATTTTATTTAATATTTAATTTTAATAAATTAAAATTAGGATCATATTGATATAATATATAAGTAACAATGACCAAATGTGTAATTATATCAAATATTTTAACTGTCACATTAGTTCATCCGTTAAATATTAATGGCAAGTGGCTTAATTGAATGCATTTAAACAGTTGAGTGGTCTGATTGATAAAATTTTAAAAATGGCGGTCAAAATGAAGAAAGGCAATAGTTAGGTGGTCACTGATATAATTTACCCTTTATTTTAAATAATTTACCTTTTATTTTTTAACTAATTTATAATTATATATTGAGTCCTTTAAAATTTAAATTTTTATAAATTAAATTAATTGTACTCATCATTAATGATGCTCGTCGATAGTTGAATTTCCCTTAAAATTATCCATAACCATAAGTTTATCCAACTTAAATATTTTATTTAGTGTGACAAGAGTAATAAATGCAATTGGATTTAATCCTATTACAATGTGAAATATAAAACATTTTAAATTAATTACGGATATGGTAATAAACAACTTATATTATTTGTTTAACAATTCAAACAGCTTATATTATATAAATGTGTATTAAATATTGCATTTAAATTCGAACAATCTCATCTCCTTCCTTCTTATCATATTTATATTATTATATTGGATATAATGGTCGAATAATTTAACATAGAAACTTATTATTTTGTAACATAAATTAGTTAGGATGACAATTGGCCTGAAATTGCGTCCACCCCATCTCCCATTGATACAAGTATAACGTGCAAGCGATGAGCCTATCCATTTTCTTAAATAGATTTGTGGGGAAACAATATAACCATAAGCAATTTGAAACCTGTATAATAATAGATGATTAGCCAGCCAGTTCACATGTATTGCGTCTCGGCCAAAAATGTGACATCTGCTGACATTTCCCCATGCAACACAATCCTCGTTGGAAACCTCCACAACTTGTTCCTTAAAGTCGGTCAATTGAAAACCAATCACGATAATCCTTTGTCTTTGATTTCATTATGGCTTATAACGAATCATGAATATGTATGTATTCACATTAGACGACGAGTTTTAATTTCAACTGATTTTATAAGGTTGATTTTTATTTTTTATTTTTTAATGTTTAGGATATGTCAATGTTTTAATGATAATGTAAATATTATATTTGTCTCTTACCTAATTTGAGATAATGTAATAATATCTCTTTACCTATTTTTTTCAATTAAATTCTTATTTTCTAATAAAAATAATATATATACATATATTTGTGTATGGCCTGATCTAGTTGGGTCGACTGTGAGTTTTTATCCTAAAAGTTAGGTCAAGTGAAATCTTTTTACACTTGGATCAGATGAGTGGACCAAAAACTCGACCTATAATTATCCCTAATTAAAAGTGAATAGATCTTAAAATTAAATTGGATCGAATTATATAAATTTAAATTAATCAAGTACATGCTTTTTATTTTATCATTTAAGTTTTATTTGAATTTAGTCAAAAATATAATACATTTATTTAAGTTAAAACTAATAAAAATTAAAAATGCATCTACATCATTTTTGTTAACCAAAATTTTAAATACTTAAATTATGAAAGTTTAACTTGGTTTGAACTCAAAAAAATATGTTTATTTAAATTTGATTTAAAATATCAAATAACTAAATTTAATTAATTTTAAAATCAATTTTTTAATTGTATCGTGTTTTGTTCACTTAACAACACAGACATAATTAAACTTTTTTTCTATACTTTAGAACTTAAAGAGAATATGGATTGGGGCATTATTAAACTTTTTTTATTTATTATTTCTATATTTTGGCCTCTTTTACTTGCAAGGCATCGTTTCATTCTCTTCCCTCCCTTTTTCCCCCACTCAAAAACATGTCTTTGTCTTCAATCTTGTAGACACTAATTTTTGACCGAATTTTATATTTATATTTTTATTATTATAATTTATTATTATTATTATTATTATATATTTTTTATTTTTTTGTTTATAGGTCCAACAAGGATCCAACCACCCACCATTATCTCATAACTACCCCACCATTATCTCAACCACGTTCTCCACCCACATCTCCATAATTCTCAGCCCCATGTTCGATCCCCACAAGATGCGCCCACCTAAAACCACATTCTACTGCTGAACTTAGAATATAAAAAGAAGGGGGGCAACAGCTCTTGGTTCATACATGGCAAACATCAAGCCTTGTTTTTCTTCTTCTCGTGAAATGCTTGTTTCGAGCATGTTGAACATCAGAACTGAGCACAAAGAAGCATCTTGGACAAGGCTTGTGAGCTTCTCTAACATCTCCTCACCGTCATCGCCTCAACCTGAAACGCAAGGTAATTCTCCTACTTTTCTCTACGACGTGCCCCCATTATAAGACCTTCACTGTTACGAATAAGCACCCCTGGCCATGCTTTATGTTGCGATTGTCTGAATTTTGCATCGAACTTTACCATGACGAATGGGCGAGGGGGAGCTGTCCAACGAACAACCAACGTTACAGAAGGCCTATGAAACACTGATTTGCCAAAAGGAATTTCAAAAACTGTGCCTTTACCAAGGGCTTCCTTTTGCTTTCCCATGGAAGCAATGTTGGTGCCGACCCAATTCACACTTTAACAGCGAATTAACAAATCAGGTAATCGAAACTTGAGTTATTATGGTATTTTTTTAATTAAGAATCTGAAATTTAGAAACCATATAACCAGGACATGTTATGCTCTTCTGCTTGTACGTTTGGTATCCATTAATAATTTTCAGAGATAAAATAAGATGGTAAATCAGCTTGTAGTAAACGTGACTTCCAGTTTGCTATCTTTCTTATTTGTTCTGTGGGTTTTATATTGCCTTCCATTTTGGCATCTTGTTTTGGATAAAATAAGTGCAACTTGTAAGCACTTCAATAATGGCAGTAGACCAATGCTATTTAATTGTTTGAATGTGCAGTGTTCTATTTAATTAAAAAATATCTTTGTTTTCTTTAAATTGATACCTTAACTTTGATTTTTTCTCTTTGCACCCTTCAATTAACTTTAATTTAATCATTAATCTCTTCAATATTTTTGATTTAATATTTTTTTCTCATCTTATTGTATTTTATTATATTATTTAGCAGTAATTTGATATTTTTAGGACATTTCCAACCTATCAAAGGTAATTATTCGAATCGAACGTTTTTACATTTCAATTTAAATTTCTAATTTTTAGCTACAAAGACAATTGAAAAATTAATTGGTACCGAAAGGGCGGTTCAAGGGTGCTAATCCTTCCTTGACAGTAACCGGCTCCCGAACCCAACATATTTCTGGTAAGGCACAGATCAAGTAAGACGGTGTCCGATCTACCTAAATATCATTTTTAAAGTGATCGGTGGAGACTCCAAATCCATTTTCCTAAGTTGAAGCCCAATTCCAGGGCCCAACCGAAAGACGGTTCCGACAGCTTGGTGACTCCGCTGGGGACAGGTAAGTGAGTCAGGCCGAAATTAATTTCCGGTTGTCTTTTTTTTTCCCGAAAATTAAAAGTTTAAATTTTAATTTATTTATTCGATTCCAATTATTTATCTTTTACTATTTTTCAAATAAATAGTTGTACTAATATTTTTTTCAATGATTTCATATTTTCAAAATTTTCATCTCAGGCTCTATACCCGAGCTCCAAACCCTTTTAAGTGGAGGTGAAAGTGATGCCTTCGTGTGAATTTATTCACCATGCGGGCCTAGCAAGTAGCCTTCGGGATTCATATACCTTATGTCTTCTTGTAAATTTATTTTCTGTATGGGCATAAGGGAATGTTTCCTCTCAAGTTTAACTTAGTCCACGCAAGCCTGTGATGAGTTTAGGACTAAGGGTCTGACAATCCCAAGGAGAACTCGGGTACCTTCTTTAGAACCTAAACCGAGAGAATACAGAGAATTAGAGCCCACCCCAAAGCCTCATTTCAAACCCTAGGCTACTTTGTTTCTTGCTTTACTTTCTGTTTAAAGCATGCCAACTAGACAAATATGCGGTTAGGATTTGCTTGAAATTAGCATGCGTGATAAATATCATATATGGGTAGGAATAATAAGCATGTGGGGTAGGACTTTTATTTTCATGATTACTTTTTTATTATTTTCACCTCACTAACTCTTTTCATTTTTTGTTTTGTTTTATTTTATTTTTATCACTTGCATAATTTAAAAGAGGTGTTGATCCACCAAAAATGTGTTTGTTAAACATGAATAATCTGCATTAATGGACAAAGGGGTTGTAATACAATAGATGAAAATGCAGAGGACAGACTACAAGGCGACTATGTGTCACATTCAATTAAGAAGACGTGGTTCCCACAATTGAAGAGTATATCACTCAGCTGCATTATAAAGGACTTAGAATAAACCAGGTCTACATCAAACACAATGAAAGTCTATCTGTGAAGAACTGACTGACAGAGGTTACAGTGGCAAGATGAAGGTTACTGATCTTGGGAGTCCCTTCAAAGACAACAATGGCAAAACGATAGCTAGACCATTCCTAACGAATTCAAGAAATAGACAAAAAAACTTCATATAGTTCCTGTCAATTGAGGACTCCAATGACATATTCGTTGGGAACAAGTTCAACAAAAGATAAATGCCAGAGATGCAGTCATTCGAGACTTCTTGGGCCAGTACAAAAAGCAACTCAACATTTTCACGGTTCATCCAGAGAAGCCAGATCGGTTCGACAGGTTATTCAACCGGTGATAGACGAATGCAGAAGACTAGTCAACATGTCAGAAGCTATCAGGATATTTTTTCCCTTAAAAGATAAAACACTTTTGTCCCCATAAGGGTTATTCATAATAACAGACACATTTTTTGGATCAATGCCTCGAACATTGCATGCATCATGCATTCCTGCATATTTCGCATTACTTTTCTCCTTTTTATTACGTTCACATGTCTCATAAAAAATGAGAACATTTCGATCCTATAACATATAAGGAGCTTTACCAACAGTTGTTTGACACACATATGGTGTCACCATATCCAGAGAAATCCATGAAGCCCTTGTACCCCATGTAGTATGATGAGAACACTCATTGCGAATATCATAGCGGTGTCCCAGGGCGCACTATCAAGAACTACTCCACATTCAAGAGAACCGTACAAAAAATACATAATAAGAATTGGATCGACTTCAACAACTCGAGGGCATCCAAGTGAGGAAGACCATTTCATCATTTGAGGCATTCTGTTTGAGTTTTTTTTTTCATTTTTTCTCAAGTTTTTGTAAGAACATTTGAATAAATTTATGTTACTTTAATGATGACGAGAAATGAATCCATTTGCAAACTTGCAATTCTTTGAATATCAATTGAATTAAGAAACTCTGTAAATGGTTCAAAGTTACAGATTTCTGACAAAGTAACATGATTTAAAACAAGGACTTTTTACCTTACCCAGAATATACAATCAAACACCGTACCATGCTCTTGCAATTAACCAAGGTAACCTTTTCCTTTCATAAGGTGCGGACAACGTGGGGCATCATTTACATATGACAATTACTATACTTTTTGACGTTGAATGATGATCATTATCTTTACAGATGGAATAGTCGAGTAAGTGAATCTAGTTTAGGTCAGTTGCTTGAAAATTGAACTCTAAATATGAGATTTCTTGACTTTCAAAAACACCTAGACTCTAAATATGGAGCTGTCCAACGAACAACCAACGTTACAGAAGGCCTATGAAACACTGATTTGCCAAAAGGAATTTCAAAAACTGTGCCTTTACCAAGGGCTTCCTTTTGCTTTCCCATGGAAGCAATGTTGGTGCCGACCCAATTCACACTTTAACAGCGAATTAACAAATCAGGTAATCGAAACTTGAGTTATTATGGTATTTTTTTAATTAAGAATCTGAAATTTAGAAACCATATAACCAGGACATGTTATGCTCTTCTGCTTGTACGTTTGGTATCCATTAATAATTTCCAGAGATAAAATAGGATGGTAAATCAGCTTGTAGTAAACGTGACTTCCAGTTTGCCATCTTTCTTATTTGTTCTGTGGGTTTTATATTGCCTTCTATTTGGCATCTTGTTTTGGATAAAATAAGTGCAACTTGTAAGCACTTCAATAATGGCAGTAGACCAATGCTATTTAATTGTTTGAATGTGCAATGTTCTATTTAATTAAAAAAACATCTTTGTTTACTTTAAATTGGTACCTTAACTTTGATTTTTTTTCTCTTTGCACCCTTCAATTAATTTTAATTTAATCATTAATCTCTTCAATATTTTTTTCTCATCTCATCTTATTGTATTTTATTCTATTATTTAGCAGTAATTTGATATTTTTTAGGACATTTTCAACCGATCAAAGGTAATTATTCAAATCGAACGTTTTAAATTTCAATTTAAATTTCTAATTTTTCGCTACAAAGATAACCGGAAAATTAATTGGTACCGAATGGCGGTTTAAGGGTGTTAATCCTTCCTTGATCGTAACCGACTCCCGAACCCAACATATTTCTGGTAAGGCGCAGATCAGGTAAGATGGTGTCTGATCAACCTAAATATCATTTTTAAAGTGGTCGGTGGCGACTCTAAATCCATTTTCCTAAGTTGAAGCCCAATTCCAGAGTCCAACCGAAAGACGTTCCGACAAAACTCTTATATATATATTATATAGTTTCTCAACAGAAGCCTCTTAAAATACCAGCAGTCAAAGAGAATTTAGAAGCTTTCAGCTATGGAGATTAAGTTCGAAGGCGATGAATCACGAACAAGGTGACCCGACAGCACCCCTCCTTCAAAATTTGACATTGGCAAAGTACCTGCAGAAGCCGAAAGAAAAACCCTCATACAGCAAACAATAAGACAAACGTTTCAAAGCATGACACATTTGGCTAACCTATTATCCCCCGGCACCGTCCTCGTTTTCCAACTCCTCTCTCCGATCTTCACCAGCCAAGGCGACTGCGACTACGTTGGACTGTTGATGACGGCGGTCCTCGTGTTCCTTTGCGGCCTGTCGTGTTTCGTGTCGAGCTTCACTGATAGTTTCAGAAACAAGGATGGCAATGTGTGTTACGGGTTGGACACGCTTAAGAGTTTGTGGGTTACCGATGGTTCGGCCACGCTCCCGCCGGAATCCGCCGCGAAATATAAGCTGCGGTTCATCGACTTCGTCCGTGCTTGCTTGTCTGTACTGGTGTTTGCAGCTATGGCATTGTTTGATGAGAATGTGGTGAGTTTCCTTTACCCGACGCCGTCGAGTCATGCACGAGAGATCCTCACGGCGTTGCCAGTTGGGATTGAGGTTTTGGGGAGTATGTTGTTTGTTGTTTTTCCGACTACTCGCCATGGTATTGGGTTTCCCTTGTCTGCCAATTAACCATTATACACACATATATATATATATATAAATGAAAGCGTTCTAAGAAATTTTAAACAAAAAAAAGTAGAGATAAAATTATCCTTCCAACGATCAAGGGCCCGACTCAACTTCCCAGCTGTAGCTTTCATGTCGCAACCAGTGACGGAGCCATGTGGGCACCGGGGTCACTGCCCCAATTTTTTTTCATTAAAAAGATAGGGATAATTACCAATTTAGACCTTTAAATTTTGATTTATTTTAATTTTATTCTCTATTTTCTATTATTAATTATACTTTACCCCTGAACTAAAATCCTGGCTCCGTCTGTCGTCGCACCCCTACCGGCACAAAAAGGTCCTCCAAATGGCAATCGAAAACGAACGCTCCAAGAATATATGATTTTTGCTTTCATCCGCTTCACTTCACAACACGCAAGAGCCCTCGATGGTCAGTCCTATACGACGAAGCCTATCCTTGATAGCCACCCGATCTAGCATTACCGGCCAAGAAATAACAGCATGTCTTGGATCGTACAACGAAAACTACACCAGCTTCTAGCAGGGAATTTTATCCTTCTTTTTCTTAGTCTCTTGTCATATCCACCTAATATGAACGATCATACCACCAGGAACCAGCAGCGAATAAGAGCCTCCCAATCTCCCTAAAAGAAAATCTTAGAGACAAATTTCACCCATGAAGTGTGCCTTTATTGGGCCAACTGTCATTCTCCGCATATTCAGCCAACGTGTGGTCCGCTTATTACAATTTTTCTAGCAAATCTAACCCAAAGATGTTCAGTAGCTTATAAGCTAAAAGAATAACTTAAATTTACGATTTCTTAAATATTATAATGATAAAAATGTGAATTAAATTAATATTCAATCAATAGTAATAAAACAGATTTATATTTTTAAGAAAGGTTTGCGATTCGATAAATGATTAACTTAAAGATGAATTGGATGTTTGTTCCTGTACAACAACGGAGACAGAGTTGTGGCTTGTACGATAGCTTGGAACAGGTGTCTTGTTTATTACACAAAGTTAAATGTGTCGAAACTATAACCACAAATGAAATGAAAAATACATGCAACAACCCTTCTTAATACTATTATACGTACTGCATTCAAAGCCACCTTTCTTCACCATCTTCTGGTTTTATAAACAAAACCATCAATATTTTTTTTATTCTTTTATCGGTTTCAAGATTTCGCCCTCACTAATCTGAATTGATCTATCTCGCATACATGGTTTTAATGGATGAGCCTATCAACGAGAATTTTTTGCATACGCTAAGACTCGAATTCTAGATATTATTTAAACGATATCAAATTACTTACTACTTAAACTAACATGTAGATAAAACATCAATATTCGAATCATAGAAATTGTTTGCATTCAAATTGTAAGAATGGCGTACTTCTTTTGTCTAGTTGTATGATAATAGTTTTTATATATGAAAATGAACATCCCTATTAAAAAACTATATTTATATATGGAAAAGAAGTTGGAAATTATATAATATCGTGACAGTTATATATAAAAATAGTTTTCACCACACATGAGAAAAAAGGGACTGGTGAGGATAAGGATGGTTTGGAAAATCAAGAAATAGCCGAGTGAGTGATATCCTCTTCCTTCACCGGCCTTTCGCTTGGGATAAGAGCCGTCCCTACCTCCACACTCTCTTGGCTCTCCATTCTCCAAATATATTTTAATTATTTTAAATTTTAATTCAATTTATTTTTATTATTTTTAAATAATTTGAATAAATATAATGTAATACTTATTAACAAATTTTAATATGTCAATAAGATACATGTCTTATAAGTGTAACTGTTTGAATTTTTTTTTAATAATTATAACATTAATTTTATCAATATATTTATTTTTGTTTTTTTGATAATTAAATCATATTATTACCCAAAGAGCAAGAGATGCTATAAAAAACAGAGTTCAGGATACAAGGATTGCTACATACAAAAAATAACAGCAATCAAAAATACCCCAATTGTTACAAAGAGTCATATTAACAGTATCTAATCTATTAAGGTTTCTACCCCTTAATTGAAAACCAACCGTTTCCTTAATGACTTGAATCAGATCTTCAATGGTCCTTGAACGTTCTTGAAAAATCTGTTTGTTTCTTTTTTCCCATAGAGTGTAAATAAGTGCATTGAAAGCAAGCTTAAAGATATAGGTGATGAGAGATTTACCCTTCCATTTAACAATAGCCCAAGTAAGGAGATCATTCCAAGACAAAAGATGGTTCTGCAAACCATTAAGAGAGAATACAACAGTCCATAGAGAACGAGCAATGGAATATTAGAAGAAAAGATGGTCCCTTGTTTTCATGGCAGCACCACAGAAAATACAATGGCAGTCGTTAAGAAGTCCCATGCGTTGTAACCTTGCTTTTGTAGGAAGTCTGTCGAGGAAAACCATCCAAGTAATTAAGCTGTGTTTGGGGATATGGTGGGGGAACCATAGCAGTTTATGCCATGGGACTTTAGGAGTCTTTACTCTGATAACATTCTAGATTTCTTTGACTTTTATCATAGAAGGCAACAAAGTTAAAAAAGCTTCTGGTCTCATTTTCAATATTTGTCTTAAGTTCCAGCTCATGGAAGACTTAATCTCAATATTCCAAAAGTCATAGACATTGAAAATGTAGTTCCTAAGCCATGTCACCCATAAAGAACCTTCACCTTCCAGAATGTGTTTTATAAGAAGCATCAGACATGCCTTGTTCCATGTTCTTAAGTCCCTGAGGCCAAGACCCCCTTCAAATTTAGGAAGACAAATTTTCTACCAATTCACCCTAGAACCAACAACTGATTTGTCAGTCCCTTTTCAGAAGAACCTTGAACAGAGTTGTTCAATCTTTTTAATGATAAAGGAAGGAATATTAAGTTGTCTGCTCCAATAGTTAGCAATGCTAAATAACACTGCTCGGATTAATTCCAATCTGCCAGCATAACTGAGAGTTCTACAAGACCAGAATTGTAGTCTAGCTTTAATATTATCAATGAGAGAGGAGCAGTATTTTTCAGAAATTTTCCTAGTTACCAAGGGAATACCTAAGTAACGAACAGGGAGTCTGCTAAGCTTGAAGCCAGTAATCTGTTTAATTTTTTCAAGATCAGCAGAGGAAATTCCAGCAGCAAACAGATCACATTTAGAAGCATTAAGGCTTAACCCAGACATTTCATAAAAAAGATCAAGGACAGTAGTAATACCAATAACAGAATCCACTGACCCTTTGCAAAATATTAAAAGGTCATCAACAAAAGAGAGGTGAGTAAGAGCAATTCTTTTGCATTTAGGATGGTAACCAAAAGTACCTTTAGCAGCAGCTAGGTTGAGAAGTCTTGAAAGAATATTCATTGAGAGAACAAATAGAAAGGAGAAAGGGGGCCTCATTGCCTAACTCCTCTTGCACCTTTGAAATGACCAATTAAACTCCCATTAAAAGAGATGGAGTAACTTGCAGTTAAAAAACAGATTTGAATCCAGTTAATGAAGACAGAAGGAAAATCAAGAGCTTTTAAGATAAAAATGATAAAACCCCAATTTAAAGAGTCAAATACTTTGTGAATATCAATTTTCAAAGAGCATCTAGGAGAAATACAATTCCTGCTATAGCCTTTAACAAGTTCCTGAGCCAAGAGGGTATTGTGAACAATATTTCTGCCTTTGATAAATGCAGTTTGGTTGAGAGTTATTAAGTCAGGAAAAAAATCTAGAAAACATACTGACCAGGATCTTAGAAATAGCTTTGTAAACCACAGAGCAACATGAAATGGGTCTGAAGTCTTTGAATTTACTTGGATTTGGAATTTTTGGAACCAATGTTATAGCTGTGGCATTAAAAGCAGGAAGCAAGAAAGAATCCTGGAAGAACTATTTTATGGCAGCAGTAATGTCTTCAGCAATAACAGGCCAGGACTTTTTGAAGAATAAAGAAGAGTACCCATCAGGGCCAGGGGCTTTGTCATTCCCTTGGTTGAAGAAAGCTTCTTTGATTTCCTCATTAGAGACATTTTTGATTAGTTCAGCAGTGGAATCAGAAGGTAATGATGACCAAAGCAGGTCTTTTAAGAGATGAGGATCAGGAGGTTTAACATTAAGGTCAGGGGAACCAAGCAGATTTGAGAAGAAGTTAATGACTTCATAGGACATTTCATCAAAAGTCTCTAATCTGTTCCCTTTCTCATCAATCAAAATTCTGATGGTGTCCCCTTTCTTTTTAAAAGCAACAGCAGAGTGAAAAAACTTAGTGCATTTATCACCCTCCTTAAGCCATTGAACCTTGCCTTTTTGCTTTAAGAACATATTTTCAACATTTTCAAAAGTCTTTAATTCATTTTGTAATTTGAGTTCCTCTTCAATAACAACCTTCCCTCTAAGAGTTTTAATTTGTTGTAGTTCTAGTTCTATTCTTTTCTTCTTTACCCGGTCAGACAGATCACTGTAGAAAGATTGGTTAAGATCTTTAAGGTGAGGTTTAAGTCTCTTCAGCTTAGAAAAAAGGATCTGCATAGGATTGCCAAATGCAAGATATTGCCATGAGTTTTTAACAACATTCAAGAAACTAGGGTCCTGGGTCCAGAAATTGAAAAATTTAAAGGGTTTAGGTCGATTAGCTTGAACCTCTTTGTAAAGCCAAAGGATAGCAAGACAGTGGTTAGAGGTACCAGGGGAAGAAACTCAACATGAGAAGAAGGGAAGGAATTCATCCAGTTCTGGTTGACAAGAACTCTATCAAGTTTCTTAGCTAGGAAGATGTGTTGTTGCTTGTTACTCCAAGTGAAAGAAGGCCCAAAATAAGGGTGATCAATGAGATCAAGGTCAGTTACAGTATCTTTGAATTCTCTCATAGCAGAAGAATTACAAGGAAACAACATATCAAAGTCAGACCTTTCATTAGAGTTCAGGATAACATTAAAATCCCCCCAGGATCAAAGGATAATTACCAATTGTTCTATCCAAGTTATGAAGTTGTTGCCACAGGTTTCTTC